TCTAGAAATAAGTAAAATATTTCTTAAATTAAGGGTATTTACCCTTAATTTAAGTATGTAAATGAGATAGTTAGCCAGTCGAATGAGTATTTTTACTCTTAAATGAGGTATTTCGATAATATGCACTTGAAATAAGTGCAATTGTGTTTTCTTATTTTAAATGTAAATAGTCTTGTTCCAAAGCAAAATGTCTCTTTTACCTCCTCAATCCAAAAACAAACGCACTTATTTTAAGAAAAAATACCTATCTAGATTTTGATTTTTTTTTTTTTCCAGCGAAGAACAAGAAGAAATCTTCTTCCATTGGCAAAGTGTCTCACTTTCCTCCTCAATTCAAGAAAAAATTACTTATTTAGTTTTCAATTTTTTGCAGTCTTGTGTTCATTTTCTGGGGTTCTGTCCAACCTCCTGCTTTCCCTGTTTTTCTGTAAGTTTTATTAAATAGTCTCACCCACTTAGTGCAGGTTTAGTGTTGAGGTAACAGCTGATGCAAAATGATAAATAATCCCTGTTAAAAGGGAGTTTTTCCTCTCCACTGTCGCTACAAGCATGCTTAGTGTAACTGTATAGTGCCTCGAGATAACATGATGTGAATTGGAGCTATAGAGATAAACTGAATAGAATTGAAATGGATAATCCGGGATTATTGCTGTTTTCTTTCATGCTGCGTTTTTTGGATTTTAAACCTAGTTTTAAAGAAAGACCAAAGGCGGGTCAGAACCGAGGCTGATCATAGAAGCCAATCATCTTTCCACACCCCACCCCCACACACACTTTCAGTTGCAGACACATGGTGTGATGAAGATGTTTCTCCAGTGGAGACCATTGATCCACGGCTGTGTTCCCTGAGAGATTAAAAGTCTGTGTCTCTCTCTCTCACACACACTTCATTTTCATCTCTTAATGTGTGTGTTTTCTCTGTGGGGGGGGGGACGGACAGACAATCAATAACCGTGGTTTAGAATCAGGGATGTGAGTGAGGCAGGGATCTGGGAAGCAGCCAGCTGCTGCCAATCGTGTTAAAAGCCTTTTGACAGTGATAAACAGGACGACTGTTAAACGTAAATAAATAAATTAGAAACACGTCGCTTAGATTAGATCTTAGGCTTTAAAGCATTTATTTTAAAAATATTATTCCAAAAGACAAAATAAAATAAAGCTGGGGAAATAGAGACACCTTCTTTCTGATGAATGCTGAAGGAGAAGCATTTCCAGATCTGTTCATGAATGTTCCTCAGCTTCATCTGCTGGTTTAAAGGAGGAGATAAAGAAACAGACGAGACTCAGCAGCAGCAGCACACTCGGAAAAAAAAATATCAAGAAATGAGTAAAAAAATGTCTTCAATTAAGTTTATTTAATTTGAGTAGGGAAATGAGATAGTTTGCCAATGGAATGAGTATTTTTACTCTTAATTAGGTAATTAGATAATATGTGCTTGAAATAAGACAATCCAATTGTGTTTTCTTATTTTAAATGAAAATTGTCTTATTCCATTGGCAAAGTTTCTCACTTACCTCAATTCAAGAAAAAATGACTTACGTATTTAGATTGCTATTTTTGCATTGTGATTAAGTTGTTCTGAATAGAAAATGAAAAATACCCTCGGCTCTGAGCTTATGGCAGTTTTATATATTAAGAAATCAAAAAGTGACACCAAAAAGTCCTCGATCATCACTATTTCTACCCTCCCGGTGTGGTAGAAAAGTTTTTCTCTTTTCCAGCACAAAGCAAATAAACGTTTCCATTTAGAGATGCTTAAATCTTTCATGGATGAACTTAGTTTGGTCTGAAGACGAGGAAGAAGATCTGGTCCATCTGTTATTTCCCAAGCTGACCAGTTGACTCTGCACTGCAGCCATATAACCCCTGGTTTAAACAGGCAGACAATAGGCCAGCCTGGTTCCCACGCCGACGCTGACGGGACCCCTGCTCTGTTGTTATTGGCTGTTTATCTCTCTGTGGAGACGCTGTTCATCAGCGTGACCGCAGTAAACTCTCCTCTGTCCAAAGGGTCTGGCTGTTAACTCTAACCTCTCCAGGTTTGCATTGTGGCAGGAGGTCATGGGGGGTTACAGTCTGATCTGTTTGCTCTGGTTCTCTGTTTCCCGGAATAAACTGGGTGCTTCTGTTTTGTGCTGCAGGTGGTCGTCCCCACAAGAGTCGGACAGGTTTATGTGTACGACGCAGTGAACGCCGACAAGGACGAGTATGACGTCCCGCCAAGACATCAGCCAGCGGCCCAGCAGGACATTTACGACGTACCGCCCACCCGCCAGCAGTTCGGCACCCAGGTCAGTGACTCGCTCAGTGATCCGGGTTCCTGCTGCAGACGCCCTTTCATCTTTGATTTTCTAAAACCAGTGGAGGTGATTCCGATCAATGGTCTCTAGTGCTGGTTAGGATTCTCAGTCATCCGGGTCACAGTCATTCTAAACAAGTTAAAAAAAAAAAAAAAACATCCACTGGACTTTTTTTGAAGTTTGAAGACGTTTCTCTTCCATCTAGGAAGCTTTTTTAATTCAAAATGTCAGAAATAGTGTTTAGTTCCAGGTTTTATACAGCAGCCCAACAAAGCCTGGTTTTAATTCAGAAAACATGCAAATAGAAACGGACTCTACTATCGGCTAGAAGAGCAGCATGGGCTGTTTATTACAGTTATTTTACTGGATGCACACGTGGAAGAGACTAAAACATGGGTTTAAATTAAACTCCCAGCATTGAGGTTTGAAAATATCTCTAATTTCAAAAAGCTCCATGAGAGGAATCAGCATGAAGCAGAACATGTCTGCCAGGTTGATCCGCCACTGTGGGGGAAATTCAACCGCTGCATTAAGGCTGGTTTATACTTAGAAACCGGGTCGTCTGCGTGTGTGTCGCAGTGAATGCTAATATGTCCCCTGGCTGCTGCAGACGGGCGTTAGCCCTGACTGCTGTTACCCATCGGAGCTCCGCTGGTTGCCGCAGTCCTCTAAACATCAGAACTTTTTTTAAATTACGCACTAAATTAGTAAATGGGCCATTTAGTGAAGCTTAAAGTATAATTTTCTCGCCTCAAATGATCCTAAAACGTACTTTTATTGAACATCAGCAACAGAAAAGAGAATTTTTAACTTAATACTCTGACCTCTGTGAGCGCTAACCTGGAAGCTGCTGCTGCAGCAGTGCATGCTGGGACAGCTGTCTGATCATCCTATTTACCTGCTCAAATTAAGGTTAAATACACTTAATTTAATAAATATTGACTTATTTCTAGATCGTTTTTGTAGTGAAGGTAAAGTGGAAACTGCAAAAAATATCTAGAAATTAGCAAAAAGGTCTTAAATTAAGTGTATTTACCCTTAATTTGAGCAGGTTATATGATCTGCCAATGGAATGAGTATTTTTACTCTTAAAATAAGATAATTGGATAATATGCACTGGAAACAAGCATTTTTTCCCCTTATTTTAAATGTAAATCATCTTGTTCTATTGGCAAAGTGTCTCACTTACCTCCTCAATCCATTAACAAACGCACTTATTTAAGAAAATTAAAATGACTTATTTAGATTTCAGTTTTTTTTTGCAATGAGGAACGATTTGTAGAAGGACCAACATCCAACCATCAAGGAGAGGATTTAAGGATTCAGCTCATTTTGTCACTTGATGACATGTCACATAGAGAAAAGTCTGAACTGGTCACCATGGTGATTAATTACAGGTTTAAATCTGTCAGTGTTTCCAGCTTCATGCTCCAACATGTCTTCCTCTGTGCTCAGGTCTATGACACCCCTCCTATGGTGGTCAAGGGGCCCTCTGGTGGTCAAGACATATACGACACCCCAGCGATGGCAGAGAAGAACCCCCATCAAACGGTGAGACTTTGAACATGGTTCTGTTGTAGAAAATGATTAACCGTTAGTGACCCAAATAAACGCAGAGCTTCTACAGAAACAGACAGGAAATTGTGTTTTCCAATCAGGATTTAGATTGGTGAATATTTACCAAGCATGTGTCCCATGATCAGCCACAATCTGAGCACATGTTTGTGTCTCCAGGTGTACGACTTCCCTCCCTCGGTGAGTAAAGACGTTCCTGATGGTCAGTTGATCAGAGAGGAGACCTATGACGTGCCCCCCCACTTCGCCAAGCTGAAGCACAACGTTCCCAGCGCTCCTGGCCATTACCAGCACAACGACGCCAGCGACGACGACGAGCCGCCAATCCCTGAAGACGTTTACGACGTTCCCCCGCCGATCCTCAGCGAGAAGCATCATCGGGGCGAGAGAGGCGCGGCCGGCCAGGCCCCGCAGGAGATCTACGACATCCCCGCCGCCCTGCGTGCTGGAGGAGCCCCCGCACAGGATGTTTATGACTTCCCACGGGAACGGGAGGACAGGGGAGGCGAGCGGGGAGACCAGTACATCTATGACGTCCCACCACAGGTAGCTGAAGTTTGTGGTCCATTACATTTTCCTGCAGAAAACGTCTCAGTCAGAGGTCCTCTTTGTTAGAGGTGTCCAGAAAAATGCTTTTCTTGCCTCCTCAGCAGCCTGTTTATCCTCCATCTATCAGAGTCAGGTGTGTTGAAACTAGGAAGCATCTAAAACCTGCAGGACAGAGGATCCAGGATCCAGGGCTGGTTGGGTGAAGACATGTTGAGGAACCTTCACTGAGTTTCTAGAGTGAGAGTCTCTGCCATAAACTTCACTGTAAATGCAGATCAACACTAACTGAATCAGAAATTAAAAAGAGTCAAAACACTTCTAGTTGTAATAAATCTATAAATGGGGTGTGCATCTATATTCAGACCCCCTTACTGTGATCCCAAAGATAAAATCCTTCACTCCTTATTGATGTGAGATTGGAAACAATGGAAAGGTTTGGATCATCGTGTTTAATTAACAGAGACTCACAGCGGAGACCAGTTCATCCTACAGGTCCGTCCTGGTTCACGCCGAGACCAGCTCTGTATAATTTATATCTTTGATGGACGAATAAATACACTGTAGTATGTATGTAGTAACATGTGGGTTACAATCTAAACCTATAGCAGCATAACTATAGAGATAGCTCAGGATAATCTGAGCCACTCTAACTTTAAGCTTTATCAAAAAGGAAAGTTTTAAGCCTAG